TTATTTCTAATACTTTAAATACGTTTAATAAAAGAAAACCACTTGATGGTGTCACGTTTGTCCATATGTGCCTACGAAACACTATTAGTCCTAATACTTTAAATATATTTAATAATAATTGAGTTTTTTAAAGAGAAAAACTAAGAATGAGTTCTCAAACAATGCGAACGTGTTTTATCTAAGATGAAATCAGTAAATGTAATCCTTGGAAGGTGTTCACGATTACACCAAACTCGCTCACAGAAGTTGTGTAGCATCAGTGAAGGTGTCTAAATTATTTACCAAATATTTTGGTCCTATTCCTTGGAATACTTTGTTCGTTTAATCAGGTTTTGATTTTAAAAACTTTATTTCTAGTAACATTCAAAATAAAATTTTCTAACGAGAAATTTTAAAACATTGGAGAGACACGTAATTTATTAGCATTATTAAATAAAGAATACGTTTTACCGGAAGAAATGAATGTGTTGATAATATTGTTTGTAGTTAAGTACAGAGCTACACAATGCTCTACTCACCACGGGTATCGAAATCCGCTTTTTAGCGTTATAAGCCTACAAATTTTATGCTGTTTCACTGGGGTGCATATTGATAAGGAACAAGTTGACATTATGCTTTTTTTTTTCATGGCAGAACTTGTGGTAAGCAGCTATCGTAGTTGCCCCCCAGTGGCACAGCGGTATGTCTGCGGACTTACAACGCTAGAAACCGGGTTTCGATACCCGTGGTGGGCAGAGCACAGATAGCCCTTGTGTAGCTTTGTGCATAATTAAAAACAAACAAACTATCGTAGTTAAATTACATGATTGTTGAAAATAAATATTCGTTATTGGTGAAAGATTATATAGGCTACTGATAATAAATTACGTATATCAGAAAAATATTTGAATTTCTTTTGATAAAGGATTCTGTTTCTACAAAAAAGTTACATGGTGAATGGCACCCGTGCGATTACAGACTTTTCATATTAAACATGTTCTTTGTTATTATAAAATCCGAAATGTATAATTTGTCCAAATGTTATTACTCATTATCATAGAAATTTGTTCCAGACGAGTTTGAGAGAT